TACGTTGAATTTGATCAATGATTAACGTTTATAGCTAGATTAAGTACCTCCCTTTACATTTCATGTTGTTTAATTATGTAAATTGGAGAAGTTAATTAAACTTTTCTTTTACATGGAAAATTTAAACATTTTGAAACTCAAAATTTTAACATTTTCTGACACATTTTTGGTCAGAACTGGACAGATTTATAAAGTAAATCATCTATAATTATAGTTAAAAACTTATTAATAAAGGTAAAGCATAGTTAAATACATAAACTATGTGACGATGATAAATGTAACATATATGTAACGCTAGGAAAATATGATATAAATTGCCCGTTACATATGTGTAACGCTAGGTTTTTGCAATTATATTAGTGTTTTGGATTTTAAATATTATTTAATTAATTTAATTGAATTGACTTTGATTTAAGCCAAATCATTATGTGGGCAGCTAAATTATGATAAGAGTGAAGTATTTTGTAGCCAATATAATAAAATTAGTGTTTCAAGGAAGATATTTTTACTGATTTTTACATTTGAAAAAATTTGATGAAAAAAATTAAGAGAAAATTTGAAAGTGATTTTTCTAAGATTTAGACTGATTGCGAGTGTTTCATAGTGCATTGATTAATAAAATAGAATGGAAATAACGAGTTGGTGAGGTCCGAACGCTGAAAAATGTCTCATTTTAAAGATATGGCATAAAATAAAAGTGTGAATAGATTTGAGTTATTTTCGTTTTCTTATGCATTAGAGTATTTAAATTGGACTCTAATTAAGTTAAATAGTATATTATTAATTATAAAGTATTGCATTATTGATATATGTTAAGGAAAGAGGTAAAATAAAAAAATTAAAATTTTTGGCCCAAAAAAATTTTTGCTTGCAAAATCCTAGCGTAACATATATGTTACGGACAAAATTTGTTAATTCTATTAAATCTGTGCATTAATTTGAGCCAAACTCTTCGTCAAACTTATTTTTATACTCCAATTCATCAAATAAATGCAGTCTAATGTCCCAAAAAAATTCCGTAATTAACGGGTTAAAAATTCAAATTCAAATCTTTAAAGTTTCCACTGATTTTATAAGCTCTTTGCCGACCACAGATTAATTTGAAGATTTAAATTCTTGTTAAAGGTAAACATTTGTTTTTTAAATTGACTTAGTTGCAACTAATTCTATGTTCAAAATATGGTTTGAAGCTTGATCAAGCTTAAATAATTATGATTTAGTGTTTTGGAGGCAGTTTAGGCAATCACGAAACTTAATTTTCATCAGGTACGAAAAGAAACGGTCAGTTCCGCAAAATTTTTTTGACTTCAAGAGGTGATTGCTTGATAAAAAAGCAACAAAAAATTTTTTTGTGGATGTAAAGGAACTAGGCAGTTCAAGTGCCTATTCTTGCTTATGACTCATTAAACTAACGTAGATTACTTCGGTACTGTAATAAAAGACATTTAAGTTTTTAAAAGCATTGAAAGCAGGTAGTTCCACATATGCAGTAAGATCCAGACATGCTTGATGAAGTCCAGATATTTATATGCAAGCAGCAAGGCACAGAAGATTAAAAATCACGAATTGGATTTCGTTTAAGTCAAACAGCATGGAACCATTGGTTGCTGTAACCTTTATTTAAGAAATGTTTGGATCTAAAAGATCCATTTGCAAGATTCTGGCCAAAAAAGGATCTACTGCATTCTTACTTATGAGAAACCGCAACTGAAAACTGTTGATTTGAAAAATAATTTGAGAAATTGCATACAAAAATTTTATATGGAGGGATTTTAAAATCCCAATAAAAATCTTTCATACAAGAGATTTAAATCAAAATCCCAAAGAAAAATCCTTTTAAAAAAATGATTCAAATCAAAATCCCACAAAAAATCTCCATACAAAATGAATTTAAATCAAAATCTAGAAAAAAATAACTTGGGTAAAATGAATTTAAATCAAAATCCCTTTTTAAAATCATTTTTCATTGAGATTTAAATCAAAATCAAAAATAAATTCAGAGATTTTGATTTAAATTGCAAAAAATCTACCCACCCTGATTATAGCTTCTTGATTTTTGTCCTGGCAATAACAATAAGAGTCTTAACCAATGTTAGCAAAGAGAACAGAGTCCGTTACAAACAAAAAAAATTCAAAATTTTCGCGCGGTATTTTTTTAAAATTTCAAAATAAGAAAGTCTGTTACTTTTTATTTTTTTAAACTAGGTGTTTTTTAAAGCATAAACATTTAAGGAATGCAATTTCATCACAGTGATTATCTTAATCATAAAAACTAGTAAGAATGTTCACTAAAATTACAAATTACTCGAAAAATAATAATTCACAACGAATTTTTTTAAAAATAAGAACTTCGAAGATTCGATTTTCGAAAAATAAGAACCTCGAAAATTCAAAGTTCGAATAATAAGAACTCAAAAATTTCTGTTTGCTTGCATTGGAGTCTTAATCATCAAGATTTCATGTAAAAATGTTTAAAAATAAGATTTTTTTACCGTTTCCTTCTATTTTCCCTTTTCCGTTTTTATAGTTCATTTAAAAATAAAAAAATGTTTTTAAAATAATTCAAGGTTGTTAAAATATATATCCAACATATTTCACATGTGCACATACGAAAATGTTTGGATATGTGTGGATATCCACACATTTTCACACATTTCCGCACATATCTCATGTGTGCACATATTTTCAAAACACACCAGATTCTGTTTTTATCCACCCAGGTTGATTTTTCTAAATATTGACTTTTTTTTGTAGACTATAAACAATTCTAAGTAAAACTTGAAAACATTTAATAATAAAACAATTAATAATTTTGTATTTCAAACAGTCAAAAAATGGAAAAAAAGCAAGAAAAACTTAAAAATCTTAAAAATCTTAAGTTAAAATCAAATTTATATTCTTTTAGAAATCTCAAAGTGTCCTGTAAAAATTACAATACTTACAATACTTGCTATACAAGTATTGTAAGTATTGTAGGTATTGTACAATACTTACAATACTTTCATATGTATTGTAAAGTATTGTTCAATACTGTTCAATACTTTTGGAGTGTCTGACCCTTGTTGAAAATTGACGTTTTTTAAAAAAATATTTAAGTTCTACTTTTTTTGATCAAAAGTATCATAAGGCATCAAGATCAAGCCATTTTACAACCTAAAGCTCAGCCATCAACACAATGTCTTTAAGTTCATTATTCTCTAATTTTTTGATGACGTGCGATGGTTTATTTTTGAAAATCAACTACTTGTAAACTTTATTGATGTTCTATCTTCGTGTTCCTTAATTAGACACAGAAATTGAATTGACAGTGTTAATGGGTTGGAAGTGAGAGATAACAAATGGAAATTGAGAAAGCTTTCTCCTGTTTCCGAAGTGTTTTGTTTGTTTGAAAATTGAAATGTGAATAAGAAAATAGCTTCTAAATTCATACCCAGGATGAAATTAAGATAAAATCAATAATGCCAATTCTGATGAGGGTTTAAGATGCTCTGGCTGAAAGCTTGCTTATGATATTTTTTGAGTGGGATTTTTTTTTGTTTTTGGAAATTTAATGTAGCTACGAAAACAAACTTTGCAGATAGGATTTGTCAGGAGTGACGTCTTATTTTCCTTTCGTCAAAATGAATTTATAATATTGTTCATAGCCATTTATAGGCTTAAGGCCTTTTTTATTTATAAAGTCCGACTTTTTGAAGGGAAATAAAGCTTCAAAGTTTAGGACACCGAGTTCATGAAACTTTTAACATCTTGTGACTGTTTTGTGGCAAAAGAATTCATTTATATTTCATAAACGGATGCCTTAGCTGTTAAGCGACCATTTCTTCTGAATGTTTGGTGTCATAATTAAATGACTCGAAACTGAGCCCATGAATTACACATGAATCAGATGATTGTGGATAATAAATGTTTTTTTTAAATAGTAATTTGCTTTGAATACAGATTGATTGATTGATCTATGACTTTACCTACCTACATGACATATATGGCTAGATCTATTGATTACAACATTAATTTTAACATATAAATTCGTAGAAATGTCAAGCTCATAAGCATGTAATTATTAGTGACAGTGGCATAGCTAGGTTCATTTTTTTATTCGCTACGCTACTGCTTGTTCAGTCACAAGACTTCACTTTGTTTTATCAAAGTTGTACTAAACTGAAGTATGCATTGGGGTTGATTTACAGGAGTAATTAAAGAACACTGTTCTAGTTACAGTCAATCTTTATTTGCACGAAGAGTAGAGTATGAAGATTTTCGATTCTAATCTAGCTTCCTTTCATGTACTTTTATATTGGGCTTACAAAATATTATTTAAAACTGAGACTAGGACTTGGTACTCTGGAAAGCCTTAAAACCCGAAATCACGTTTAATTAATTACTGAATCCTAGTTATTCACTTGAAAACACAAATCCCAAGTTATGGAAATATCTACAAGAGGATATAATCTCCTAATTCCGCCAATTTTTATGCAAATGTCAACAAAAAAGCGACTGACATTCTAGACAGGGCTAAACTTGTATTACTCTGTACAATCCTATAAAAATGCGTTTGCCAAAATAATCTTACTTGATGCACACAGCACCAAATTTAAATGAGAGAAAGAAGTTCTGATCCAAGCTGACTACTAAAAACTTGGCAGTAAAAGTATCATATTCTCTAACCTAAATTGCTCATACTATCATTCTAATATTCGAAATACTTGAAAATCCTATAAATAAGGAACAATAAGAATGCCAAAAGGTTGATTAAGAAATCAAAGTAAAATCAAACGTCATCATTTTCTTGCTAAAAAATATTACAGAACCACGAAAAGGATGGAAAAAAGGCACAAATTATACAAACATGTATCTGAAGTTATTATAATATTCCCTTTCATAAAAAAAAAGAAAGTCCATGGCATGGCACCACCACAGAAACCTCCTCCACAACCGCCCACCCATTCATCCCATTCTATTCATTTTTTTTTCACTTATTGCTTCTGTTCTCTTCCCTTTAGGCATTAAGAGGCATATGAAAAAGAAATGTGAAGTGACTCGTGAAGAATTATAATGAATGAAAATATTTTTTTTTATGCTGTACATAATATATGAAAATTTGTAAAGTGTGTTTTATGTTATGCTTCAAAAAAATGCTTCATAAGAAAGCTCTCATCGGTTATCCATGATGAACATGAAAGAGAAATTGAGGAAAATCGTAGTTGTTGTGAAGATGATGATGAAGTGATTTACATTTGTAGTAAACACACATATGTACATGCTGCAAAATATTATTTTTCTCTATATTCAATTATATGACAACTTTAATCAATTAACTGAACCCCCTCTCCTTCATCGATAATAATGAGTCAAGCAACAACTCCCTCAACGGAAGGACAAGGTAAATATATTAATACTTGCTTACTTATTTTTACATATTCTTGTTTATGCAATTTTCTGATTTTTATTACTTCCACTGAGACTCACCTTTTTTATGTGTCGGCCTCGAGTTTTACATGAACTTGCATGTATGTTGTGGATGTACTCGCTGTATTTGGGTTTCTACAGAGATGTAATGAATGTACTTGAGCAATTTAAGGCTTAAAAGCTGAGAAACTTACTACGTATCCTGATAACTAGACTTGTCTTCCCACAAATTTGACAAATCGACTTCGAACTCTGCTTCAACTTTGTAAAATTAAATCATTCAGAATTTTCCAATAATTTGCATTTTCAAAGATGAATTGATTGCATAAATTCTGAAGTTATTCTGAATTCTAGCATTTTCAGCACTATTCTGATCAGCACACAATAAAACGTTATCCACAAGACAGCCAAGCTGAAAGTATACTTGGAAATGACTGTTAAGTGACTTCTGCTTGATTTCATATAAACAATCTGAATGATTGTGGTGCAGACATAATTTTAATGTATCCCGATCAAATCTAATGCTTATAAGCTACCAATTTCAGCTCATGACTTGTTCAAGATCTCTTAATATCGAAAACACAACTTCAATTAAGCTGATATTCCCACAGATCTCAATTACAAGACCTTAATTAGTACTAGAATCCCAAAAATGTTGATGGAGAATTTCCAATAATGCTGTTGTATTGTTGGCTGTTTTTGAGTTATAATTAAGGATTTGTGACTGAAATTGGTGAAAATTTTCCGTCGTTTGATGAATTTCCCATCATGCTGTTTTCCCCTTGACTGTTTTTTGACCAATCCTTCAACAACTCGTTCAGTTTTATCACAAGAAGGAACCAAAACGAGAAGAATTTATTAGTTTCCTGCCTTTTAATGTCAGTTGGTCGTGACAGATACTCTAGAGCAGATAAAATACCACTTAACAATGATTCGATGCTCTTAAAAGTTACTTCTTGTTCCTCTCAATTATGATACATGCTCTTTGTTTAAAAACCCTAATGCAAGCAGATTTATGAAGCGAAATGAGTACCTTTAATAACTTTATATATTGTTGAAAATAAACTTATACAATAACAAATACGCAAGATTATTCTCTGCATAATTTACTATCATGATGCTTAAGTAGATTTACATACTAAATTAAAGTATAACTCATGTAATTCTATTCATATTTAAAAGGCTTTATAAAGCTTTGTATCAATATCAATGTTTCTTTTGCTTTCATCCAGATTAGTTTCGTGGATGAATACGAATAAGGGATTTACAAATCGAACCGAATTCTATGAAATTTATCTTGATCTTACGCTCCCTCACATACAAAGCATAAATAACTAAACTTGCGGCTTTGTGCTATATAGTTTTGGGCTTTTATGTGTCTTACTTGCAAGCATAGTGGTGTAAATATATTATTGGGTTTATAGGAAGTTTAGAGTTTAAATTAGATGCTGAAATGATATGATTTGGAAGAATTATGGAATCTTGGACCTATCGAGAGTAGAATCAGAAATCTATCGAGTCATATAGTCAAATCTGCCAATGCGAGAATTAAGCCTACGTGGTGCTAAATGATTAGACAAGTCAACCTCTTTTTGTGAGGTTTTGAGATCAATTCACATTATATTTTTGGAACTCTCAATCTTTCTCCAAACGGTACAATCGAATATGAAGGAGGAGTCCATTTAGAATGAACTATGAACTCCGTGTGGCTTCAAAATGTCACGATAGCATTCTCACTGGCTCTGTCAGAGGCTTAGTAAGCATATGTTGATATGTTAAGGAGTTATAGATAAAGCTATGCAATCTAAAATTCCAAAATTTCCACCTCTATTCCTTACCAACCGATTCTCTAGTTCCACATATCCATTCATACAATAGAAAGCATTGCCAAAAAACTTTCCATTCACTATGAAAAAGCTCATTTGTTATTTCAACAATATCTCTCTCGTACATACAATATAAAGTTCAAGTGATTGTGAGAAGCTGATATGAGTAAAAATTTATCTATTAACTCATATTATTAACAAAAGCTGCTTTAAATGTTAAATCTACTGTGATTCCGCTCAGAATTCCTGTTTAATGTTTGAGAATATATTATACTTTAAGCTCTTAATGTGAAATGGAGAACGGCATGTAGAAGATGCATGAATTTAATCGAATGATATTATTTCCGAGGCTCTCTCTCTATGAGAAATCTTTTGTTGGACTTCTTTTTTATTTGATTTGTTACGGGGCAAAGCATTTAAGCGCAGAATGTTATAAAATTATTTTTTATTAAAAAATCCCCTAAAAGCTCTTTAAAAGCTCTCGTTTATGATGTATGAGCTAATATAATTTGAAAGAGCTATTATTGGGGTCAGTTTTGTCAATGCTGTCCTCAATGTATTCGATTTGCCTCATAAAGACATACTTGAACCGTACATATACATTAGAAGTTAAGTGTCTCAGTGGCACAGCGGGTATGATTACTGACCCTGAGTTTAAATCACATCGGCAACTCATACAGCTATGAATATCTATTCATCTCATGCTTGCCTTGTCTTGAAGGACGGAAACGAAAATTTTTGATTTATGTGCTGCCTCAAATTCCCATTCTAATAGATAAAATGTCATATGATAAGTTTTATGATTTCTCTAAAGCTATTCATCTTCAAAATCTTATGAAATTGTCCAGAATTTCGGATGTGCTGAACACCTAAATGTTATTTATTTACGGTCTGTTCTTTTCTGATGGAGATTATGCACAATTGGCTATGAATTCCATGTCTAGAGGGAATTTATCATTTACTTACTAATATTATGATCCAAACTTATCCTGAAGTTACTTAACTTAATTTACCATTGGATATCCTCTTCGGGAATAATATTCATTAGCAAAAATCACTTTACTTTAGAATGAATTATGGCTCTAGATTATCCTTTTGTTTCTTTTTCGCTAGGTGGTAATTATGTAGTCGCTCTGTTTTATCTCTTCCAAAAAAAAGAGGTTTATGCTGTGCATTTTGTTTTATTATTCGACCCATCTTTAATAGCTTTTTGAGATACTTAATTTCTGAATCAGTGTTTTTCAACATGCTTTGATCTAAAGCATGTATAATTGTAATCTGGGTCGGTTTGGGTCAATCGTGGCTTGACATTATCTTGCTCGAATCCCCTTACACACTTTAAAGCAATTAACAGAGAATTACAAAAATTATCCTTAATTGACAAGAACTAGATCTGTGCTATTCAGAAGCATAGAACTGGTAAGTTCCTGTCAGATGGCTTTCCCGCCCAAGCATACCTTTCAGCAAGTATCAGAATTTCAGTTAAGAATGCTTCCTATCTATATTCTTAGGATTTGCTTACTTCGCAGTATCCTACTCATTAGAAATAAGGATGCATTAGATCCTGTACTTCAAAATAAGTATCTACATATGATAATACTTAATGTATTTCTTTTGAAAATATTCTCAATTACTTATCTCATTGATGCACAAGTTTTACGATTATGCATTACTTATATAAGTCATTAAAATGATTGCTATTCAGTAGTTCTACATCTTTGTTCATTCTCGACGGTTGACAATCAGAGAATGATGTTCTATTGAAATGAGAAAGCAAAGCTTTACCGCTACGGTTGTATAACCCAGATGCATCTGAGACAATTGTTTACAAAACGAGAATACGAATATTATGAATAAGACTGTCAATTCTAAAGCTTTCATATTATTTCAATGAGTTGCGAAGTTATAATGTGACGCAATGCACCAAAAAAGTGGTGAATCCTGTTTCAGTAGTCACCATCTGCTATCCAATGTTGTGGAAATGACTAGAGGAAAATGATATCAGCAACAAGATTTATTTTATCAATTTTTTAATACTCTGCTGCCTTTTAAAATCCGAATTTTGTCTCTGCTGTTCCTTCATTCTCTTTGTAATCGAAAATACATGCTTGTCTTAATATACAGCACTAAACAATCAACATTTTAAAGTCCCAATTTCAAATTTAACAAGTTTATAACATTTTTATGCCACATAACTCCAAAGTCTTTTCATTTCAAACATACATAATTGCTTGTATGCATCCCACACAAGCTTCATCTCGAAATTCCCTCCCAATTCTCCCCTTCTCGACATCAAAATTCCTTAAGACCATTAAAGAAAAGTTTATTTGCAATAATTTAAAAGCGACTTCCACACCTCCAACAAGAAATTCCTCAACAAAAGTTTGTAAAGCTATACTTAGTTTTTAAAAAAAAAGAGTTTGGAGACTTTTTAAAATTGAATATCGAGCGCATTTTGAGGAATGTTTAGATAAAATTGAGCTGACGTATTTGAAATGTCTGTTAAGGCTATTATACAAAACCACAGATCTTGCTTTAGCTTGACTCCTAACTTATTCACATCTCAAGTGACACAACAAGTTCACTTTCTAGACATTGTGAGACATTTCCAACGAGTCGAGTCAACTCGGTAATTCTTGGAATTCGGCTTCGAGCTCTGGATGTCGTTATTGAATCTTTTTGGATACAAAATGGTTAGAGATACAGGACATTACTGTATGTCTTTCAACTTCAAAGAAGTTTTTCATACCTACTAAAAATGCACTAAAAGAGACCCATAAGAGTTGGTCTTTTCTTACTAGTTCTTCTATTTTACGTTTCAAAAAAACATCACGAAGGTTATGTTCGGCGTGTTGCAAGGTTTCTTCACTAAAACAACGTAGAACGCAAATAAATTTATAAAGTCGACGTTATCTGCAAAATACAAAAGCACATTTTCGACCCAATTAAATAAAGATGAGCACTACATATAATAATGATAAAAGTCATACTTTTATTCAACTTCTTTAAAGTTCTTTTTTTCTTTAGCTTCCCCGTCCACCAAACTCTTTTGTAATGGGAATACTCAAAAAAGGGAAACAAAAAGCAGCATAAAAAGTTTTTTTTTTGTGGTAAATTTTTCAACAATGAGAATGACTCCCCCAGTTCCATTATTAAAATTACATACCCTACAAAATGTGAGCTATTTTTAAAAAGTACTAAAGAATTATGACGGAACAAATGGATTGTAATAAGTCACAACTATTCTTTTCGATTGATTGATTTTCGTCCTCTTTTAAACTTTTTCTCATTCATTTTCAATGACAAGTTATGAACATTTTCATTTCTGTATAATACAGCATGGTATTTAGCTAATGCAGATTTAATAAGACTCAAAACGAGAATGAGTGAGTGAGAGGGAACCATTGAGTTGGGTATAACGACTTATTGACATAACATTTGTTTGAGATTGCTTAATTTATGTAAATTTATTGTTGGAAAGGTCTTGTTATTATCGCCTCTATTAAATCTTTTGGGACGAGAGCAAAAAGATTTTTTTTTTATATTTTGTAGTTTTAAACATAATGTATGCATGTATTATAACTTTTCACTTCTGTTGTTTTTTGATGAAGACCCCTTTTTGTCCATCTATGATCAACATCAAACCTAAAATTGCTTAACAAAAATACTTGCTTGTTTGGAACAACATGGACTAGAAATTGTTGAATTTTATATCTTTTTTTCTATCATATTAGGGGATCCAATTGTGACTACTGCTTTCTCTTTTGAGATTTCTTTAGATTCACATTTGAAGACTGCCTTTTGTATTTATTTTAAGAAGCTTCAATGTTAAGTTTCTAATGATTAAAATATTGAAAAATAGCTTTTATGAACTTCTAAATCTTTAGTTGTAGCTTTCTATGAATGTTCCCGATTCTAATATATCTTTTGACAACAGTTCAAGTCATCTGACTTCCTATCAAACCTTTAGCAATGATTTTGCAATCAATTTTCAATATCAAAAAAGTTAAGCTTTAAATTCAGGTTTAAAATATCGAGTTCAGTTCTAAAACACCTTTGTTTTGTAATAATAACAAGTTCTCATAATCCAGTCATCCATAATCAGGTCATTGCGTGCCAAGTTGATAAAACTGCAGAGAATTCAGTTCAATTTAAATTTACAATAACTTGGAATTATAATTTTCCACAATTTTCAAATTCCTTAAAGAAAAGCTGTCCCGATCCCAGAACCTCTAATTGCAGCTTTCATGAAAGTAAATTTGTATGATATTTATTTGAGGGATGTTGTAAAAAAGTAAGTTTTGCTTAAACTTTTTCTTCTATTTTGCTGTTACTGCGAGAAGATAAACCTTTATCAGCAAAAAAAAATTGGGTGATTCTGTAAATGATGAAGCTTTTAAGGAAAAACTTTTCGCTTACCTTTTTCCTCTCTATCTCCTTCCTTTTTCTATAATGATCATAAACTGATGATGTTAGTACTTTATGTCAATGCAAAATGATGTTTCATCGAATATTCAACTGACTTTCAAGTTAATTGATATTTGATGGATCTTCTTCTTCCTTTTTATTTAATTTATTACATTTTAAGGAATGATGGGACATATGAATCAATGAGAAAAGTTTTAACGAAGATTTATGTGTTCTGTGATTGTTCTCACTCCACGAGCCTCTTTTTTGTTGGATTATCTTAAAATGTTTTCTTCATTTGCTTCCATTTTCTTGTTTTTTGCGACTAGAAGCTCGAATTTTAATTTTTATAAGCATTTTAAACATCAAAAGTTTTTTCAGAGGGTACAAAGCAGCTAATTACCATGAATGTAACAACAATTTTGCGAGTTTAGAATGTACATTCCTTATTTCTAGTCATTGAATTTTGAGGAAAATCGATTTTTCATTTAATGAAAATGGCTTTTTCAAACTTCAAAAGATACAAACATTTATTTAATGAGAAATATATGCTAAATTGAACTCAACATGATCTCTGATTTACATTTTAATGTAAGTTCAAAGCATGAAAAATCAATAAAGTTTCAAAGATTTTATTGGAATTGGAATTAGAATTATTAATAATGTGCAGTTAAAAGAAAGAAATTGACTTTTTTTGAAAATATATTTTCAAATTAAATAAGAATTTTTACATTCTTTAATTTTTGGCTATTTTAAATTTAAAGATTCAATGTTTTCAATATTTTAAATAGTACTTAAACTCTTCATCTTAAAAAAGAGATTTCTAATTCTTCAAATTTCAAAAAAGTTTTTAAACTTTTCAATTTTAAAATCCTAGGTTTTCGCAAAATCTCAATTTAAAATTCAAATAAACTCAACAATCAGTGTAAAAAAATATTAAAATAATTTTTGTGCAATTTGCAAATTCTCAAGTCGATAAAATAAAATTTTAATCTTAAAGTACATTTAATATAACTTTAATTGTCTTATGACTCATATTCATATTCATAAAATGTTTATTAATATGTATCTGATAATACGGATATAAAGCTGCAGGATGAAAAAGGGAGGCTCTACTTCCTCCACACCACACTTTAACAGATATTCTCACTCTTTTGTTACAATTTTAAAGTAAAATTGTTGTGTATATATTTATGCCACATTTACAAGCTAAGCACGTACAGCATGGTCGTATGATATGACAGAAAAAATGTCTCCTTGGAGAATTACAGATTTTCACAATGTGCAGCAGCAAGCAGGAGTGAAGAATTTTCAATTTTTCATTATGTTCACACATTTTCACGAGGAGAATAAAATTGAGATTATTAAGACTAAGCAGCGATAAAGGAATCACAAAAAAATGAGTGTGAAAAAATAATTGCGACCATAAATTTGCTTAAATAATGAGCAGTGCTACTGCTCTTTTGTTTTATATCACATCATGATGATTGCAGGGAAATTCCTTAATTTATCCCAGCAACACGACAATAAAAGTGTTTTGAGGAAGTTCAAGTAAAAAATAAAAAAAAAAATTAACGATAATAGGCTCTTGAGAATAATCTTGTGTCAACAGGTTGCGCGCTCATCAAGTTCTAATCTTTTTTGTATGTCTCTTTTGTACTTCCAGGAAAGCTCGAAACAATCCCGGTTGTGGAATATACGGAGAAATCTCAAGAAAAACAAGAATCTCGTCATGTACAACTCGTTCGAGAATATGGCTTTCATCCAAGATCGAAAGTGCAAGTTGTGGATGGTAGCTTATTGCCTCGAAAATTCGAACCATTTCCGAGCCATATGTATGGAAAACCCCTTGAAGAAATCGATCAATTTATATACGAGGAAGTAAGTAAAACTATTTTCTTCCCTATTTACTTCTTATTTTGTGTATATCATATCCAACACATAAACATATTGATCGCCAGAACACTTGGCTATTGACTTGAATGAGTATCTATGTCAATTGATTCATTTTCAAAACGTATACATTTATTGATACGACATATGTCTATATGTTTCAATTCAACAGCAAGCAAGCAGTAAAAGGGAAAATAATATATTAGTTGTGCTTGAGGCCCTCTCGAGTTTGAAGAATGAAAGAAGAAAACTTTTATGAAATGTACTTTTTTTTGTGCTGAATATTACTCAATGAAACGCTATTTGTCTTTCTACTTCACCATTCATATTCTGAGCTCTTTTATGTGTCGATTTTGCTTCAACAACTTTTAAAGAGACTTTATTGCGCTTTAATTTGAAGCTTTTTTAATGTTCATTGTTTTAATGGATTTTACTGGTAATTTTAGATTTAAAAATGTGAACTGAAAAGTCATAAACAAGGCTAAAGTTGTTTTCAGTTTGAATAAATTCAGCAGCAATTTAACGAACATTTAAACTGAACTGAAATGAACAAATTATTTACTGAACAGCTCAAATTTTAAAAAATTCCGCTAAAATTCACACTTCAAGCATGTCAATGATTTAATAGAAATCTACCTGAATTAAACATTGTATGCTACAAATTCTATAAATATCCATAGAAAATACCGCAAACAAAGCGACATTAAAAGGTATAAAAATATATTTTCATTCATTTGAAGTCATAGTGTAGCAAGCGCATGAATGTATGATTGCGCTAAAAAAGCACAAACGTCACTATTGTAGACGCACATAAAAAATGTATACGGTTCCTTTTCATACCAACAATACTCTCAACTTACATTACAATGTAGAGGATTTTCTAGAAAAATAAGGCATAAAGGCACAAAGCAAGCAAATCAAAATGCGTTAACTTTTTTAATGCATCATAAAATTCCCTCTTTTCATCCACCACCAATTCATATTATGTGCGGTCGGTCAGAAAAGCCAACATAAGTTCTTTTTAAATACTTTTTTCCTTCCCATCAAATTTTCCGAGGAAGGAGGCAAACGAAGTCAGAAAAAATGGGTGCTCTCTCGGACGGACGGGAATATAAAGCGAGAAGTGTGAATGTAAAATATTTTTTTATCCCTAAAGCAGTGCTAGTGAATAAAAGCACGCGACGGTAAAATCAAATAAAGCATATATATACATACTTTATGACGTCACCGTCGTAGAAATGCCATTTCCTTTTAACTGGTGTATAATTATAAATATTGGAGTTGATACACGAACATTATTTATCATTCATAACGCGTTTTTAGTCAGCATATAGCTACAATGTAACGAGCATGAAAATCATCATCATTTCAAGTATGTTCGCTATACTTCATGATATAAAAGTGTATTAAGCTCTTGTGACACAAAAGAGAAGAGAAAAATGAGCACGAGAAGAGCCTCAAAAGCATTTTCAGCATGAAACGTGCGAAAACTCATGGATTTCCTATTCTTATCGCAGATTCTCTTTTCACGCAAACTTATTCTTTCCTGTAAAGCATTTAAATACCTATATAATCATTATTTTGTCAAAATTAAACACATTTATGATTTATAGCTTTTTTGGAATTTGCTGTGTGAGAACATTTTATTCGTCATTCAATTCTGGATCTTTTTTTCAATTTTTTAACAATTAAAATAATTCACTTCCTTGAATGTTGAACGCGATGCTGCAGATCCACAACAGTTCTTAAAACTTAAATGCTGGCTGGTGGTATTCACGATCAGTCTAGAATAGGCAAGAAAAAGAAGAAATGAAGCATTAGACATTTTAACCTTACTTTTTTGTTGATAATTAATTTTTTTTTTCACTATCTAATCTGATCTTACTTACCACATTTTACTTGGATCTTGCACGCATCTTTCGGCGTTTACGCTTCAACCTACGCATTCTCTTTTTACGCCACTAAAATGAGATAAAAGAATAAGACATTATTAATTAAACTATTTTTTCACTTATTTTTGTTGACATTCTTTTCACATTAAATGCTAGATATTTTAACCTTATTCACTATTTATCACTAAGTTATGCTAATATCTTGGCTAATTCAAGCATTTTTTGAGACCCAGTAATGTGAAAAAAATGTCCGACAATAGATTTTTGTAAAGCACATGTTGAAGAAAATTTTCAAAACAATTTTCACTTTAATTAAATGTGATTTAACAAAATCTTGATGATAATCCTTTAGATCTATTAACTATTAAGTTAATTAGAGTATTATAACTTACCTTGGCTCTCATTTTCTCTTATTATTTGAATTGATCGCTAAATGCGACTAGACAAGCCAAAAGTTCAAGTGAAAAGAACGATTATTCTTCAAGTCATTTCGAAGTCGATGATGAGTGATAAAATCTAGTACAATTTTTGATGGAACTGCTTTTTTCAAATATTTTTTTAACCGTTATTTTTCTTCTAGACATTTTGTGTAGTATCAAAACGATTTCAAAAGAATTATATTCACCGATTTACTGGAACCAAAAGTTTATTTTTATTTCCACCATGGAATACATTAAGGAGGATATGCGTTTTTATAGCGACAAATCAGTTTTTCGACTATCTTGTTATGGCCACTATTTTATGTAATTGCGTTTTTCTTGCTATGAGCGAAACAATAGAAGAAGCCGAGTGAGTATTATTGTGCCTCTTATTTTAATTAACATAATTATTTGTAAGTGTATAACGGTTATTGTGGATTTGAATTTTATTTACCGCCAAGTTTTTATTTACAACAACAACAAAAATGTGATAATCTTAAATCGTAAAATTCGTTCTCAAAACGTAACAGGACAGGCCTATAAAGACATTAGCAGTAAAGATTCAAAAGTATATTATCATTTACTGGTACTTAAAGTAAGCAATCCTGAGGATTGAGCTAGAAAACAAACAATTAAATTTATGAAGTAAAGTACTAGAATAAAAAATGGCTAGGAATAAAATTCAAAATATTTTCGAACCGTTATAAAATAAACTATAATTAACTTAAACCAATTCCATTTCCTCAGATTTTTCTTCTTGGCAATCTATACAATAGAAATGTGCATTAAAATAGTTGCTAAAGGCTTCGTACTGAATAAGTATACATATTTAAGAAATCCATGGAACTGGCTGGATTTCCTTGTAATAGCCAGCGGATATGCCACAATAGGAATAGACATTGGAAATCTCGCTGGTCTACGAACGTTTCGTGTTTTGAGAGCTTTGAAAACTGTTTCAATAATGCCTGGCCTAAAAACTATCATCAATGCACTTTTACATTCATTTAAACAATTGGCGGAAGTCATGACACTCACAATATTTTGTTTAATGGTCTTCGCTCTGTTTGCTCTACAGGTGAGTTCCGTTTGTGTGCTTTATGCTGATTTTTGAGTTTATTTTTGTGAATTTATTTGGTTCCTGGAAGGCTTGATCATTTAAATCAAATAAAATTTCAGATTTATCAGTTGGATTAAATTAAATCTCAGGATTAAAAATTCAAAAAACAGCTAGACAATGCCATTGTCACCATTTGCCATGCTCAAACTTAATTCTAATTTTTCTTCTTAATTTTCTCTATTTTTATTTTCTTTCTGCGTGTCTGTCTGCGACTCATCACCATCATCATCTTATCGCTAGGTCTATATGGGAGAATTGCGAAATAAATGCGTATTAAATCATCCAAGTTGGTGGACGAATGTAACATACGAAGATTGGTATGAGTGGATAAGCAATTCATCAAATTGGATTTATAGAGATGACATGCCATTGCTATGTGGCAATTTAACAGGAGCACAGCACTGTAAAGGAGATTATACGTGTTTGCGCGTCGGCGAGAATCCAAATCATGGCTATACAAGTTTCGATAACTTTATGTGGAGCATGTTAACAACATTTCAATTGATAACATTAGATTATTGGGAGAATACGTATAACATGATTATAGCAACATGCGGTCCAATGAGTGTTACTTTTTTTACCATCGTCGTCTTTTTCGGTTCATTTTATTTAATTAATTTAATGTTAGCTGTTGTGGCGTTAAGTTACGAAGAAGAAGCTGAGATAACGAATGAAGAAAGACGAAAGGATTTAATTGATCATCGCGATGACTCGACATTCAGCTTTGATCCAACGCATTTGAATTTAAAGCAGCTGAATAAGACAGCGAGTAAAAAGTTTGATACGCGTAAGAATATATTAATGGCATCGTATTCGAGGAAGAAGATACGACGAAGGAAGAAAGGAAAAGAGGGAAAGGCACAAAATAATAATAAATCAATTTCAAGTGGCAACAATAATAACAATAGTAATAGTGAAAATGTAGATGATAATAAATCGATTGATACAAATAAATCTCCAACACCCAGTCCCAATCCTAGTCCGAGACATAGTAGTACGACCGAAATAACGACTGTCGTGCGGCCTCCGCAAACATTAGCGTTGCAAAAAACGCGAGGATTGTTACAACAAGCTCAGGTTATTTATGATTATTATTTTAATAATTTATCAAAATCTCATACCCCATCCAATACAGCTCAATCAACTCCAACAGCAACAACAAGCGACTGATGACAATGAAAACTCAAATACCCTTCATCCTCTACGTGGTCAATTGCTTTCGAGTCGTCAGACAAGTTCAAATCGGGATTCATCGTTGGATGATTCTGGCGTGGTTGATGATCACGAAGATGTTCAGGAACCAGAGCCAGAACCAGAAAATCAACAGATCCAAAGTAGTAATATGGAGGTGAGCATGCTTCGACTGTTTGCGATAGGGAAACTGACAGAGACACATTAATAATGTGTGACATGGCAGAATTTTTAAGTCAATGAGCTTCCGTTCCGTTAAAAATAATTACAAAACATGTTTGAAAGCTTAATTTTATTTGAGGGTTAATTTATTCAGTTTGTGGTAATTTAAGGGATTAATTTTCCACAATTATAATCTCAAAATTTGATGTGTGTGTCATCTAATTTTCTGTTGACATGTGTATGTGACATTGCTTGAAGAGTCTTTGGGTTGAAGGAACATAAATTTTGATACTTTATCGCAAAATTATGGATTGTGGAAACTAATTGTTTTATTAGGCAGATGAGAAATTTGATTAGGCAATTTTGGGAAGGCTTAATGAAAGTTTGGGAGTGTTTTTACGCACGAAAAGTTGATTTATGAGGGATTAAGTTGATTTGTTGATGTGAACCGTAAAAACTTGTAAGATTTGATGATTTCTAACAGTTATGGAAATTTCGAAAATTACAACAGTTTCGTAAGTTTTGAATATTTTAACGGTTTTGTAAATTTTGAATAGGTATTTTAACAGTTTTGTAAATTTTGAATAGGTATTTTAACAGTTTTGTAAATTTTGAATATTTTAACGGTTTTGCAACATTTAAAAAATTATAGCAACTAATTTCAAAAAATAAAAATAACGGAAATCAGAAGCAAAAGTTTGACAAAAACATTCTGAGGACCTGCCAGAACTAGTTGACTATCATTTTATTTTGAAATGACTTGATAAATTTCTTTCAAGCAACAACCATGAATAATTAATTTTTTTTTTATTATTTCTTCCTCTTTTGTGTCTCGTCAACAGGTAACTTTGGCACTATCACCAAAAGAAGTAAAGATAATAAAATGCAACGGTAATAATTTAAATCGTAATAAGAAAAAGCACGATGTTTATGCATTACATCCTGATTATTTGTCGCAATCAATAGTTGTCATAGGTGTGTTTCATCCCCCATAATCCACTAAAAACACTGAAATTCATGCTACTTCCATTATGATTCTCTTAGTAAATTTACTCTTTTTCCTTTCTCATGATTGTAAATATTGAATTTCAGTAATAACTATACTTTATATTTTTTGATTGATTGTCTTATGTATTTACTATCCATAACCATAAACAGTAACAACAGAACAAAAACCTACTAACTTACATACTTTATATGTAAATGTTCAAAAAAAAAATAGAAACTCTATTTATATCCTGACCAATTATCTTGACATTTTTAATTTGATTTATTCCAGATGATCTCCCTGACGATCGAAACTGTGAATGTTGTGTTCATTGTTGTTTTAAATATGAAACCTGGCTATCATTTCAAAATAGTTTATATGAAGTCGTTAAAGATCCATTATTTGAATTGTTTATTACCTTATGTATTGTTTTAAATACTACTTTCCTCGCACTCGAACATCATGGCATGAGCGAGACCGTTAGATCTGTGTTAGATATAGGAAATAAGGTGAAGCTAAAATAATTAAATTGTTTTAGCTCTGAATTATGATTTAATTCCTTTTCTTTTTTCATACCATTCTTTATAGGTTTTCACACTCGTCTTCACGCTCGAATGCTTTATGAAAGTCATCGCACTTTCCAAGGAATTTTTTCTGTGTGGCTGGAATATTTTTGATTTATGTATCGTAACTGCGAGTATTATGGATCTTATTTTCGAACTAGTCGATGGTTTAAGCGTATTACGAGGTCTTAGATTGGTAAGCATGGCATTACTTTAAAATTGAGCTTTTTAACGGTTTCTATTTATTTGAATTTTGCTTTATTCAGCACTATTCAGCCTTGAGAGTTTTTGATCTAAAATTTCTAGTTTAAATTTGATTTTTCAGCTTTATTAAAGTTACTTTTAATCACTTAAATGATAAATTGCCTTAATAAGGCTATAAATGCTACAAAAGCCACAAAAGAATCAACAAAATAATTAAACGGCTCTTTAAATTTCAAAAATAATTGCTATTGTATTGTTCTGCACCAAAACTCAGAACAATACAACAGCTAATTTTCAAATAAAAACCGTTAAAAGCTCCTTATACAAATGTATAAGGATAATTAAATGAATTCCATAGAGCATAACGAGACAATATTAATCATGTCCTTATTTTCTTCTTATTCTCTTCCTAATTCCATTAAATCACAACATAGTTAAGAGTTTTAAAATTAGCACAATCATGGGTTACAATGAGAGTTCTTCTTAGTATTATTCTATCAACAATTGGTGCTTTAGGAAACTTGACATTCATTTTGGTGATTGTCATTTATATTTTTGCCGTCATAGGCATGCAGCTATTTGGCAAGGATTATACCCGAGAGAAATTCTATCCTGACCCCGTGCCGCGTTGGAATTTTAATGACTTTTTTCATTCATTCATGATGATTTTTCGAATTTTATGTGGCGAATGGATTGAGCCATTATGGGATTGCATGAGAGCAGAAGAGGCTGTGAGTATATATAAATATACATTTCTGAGATAATTAATTAAAAACAATTTTTTTATTATTAAAATTCACAGAGCGGCTCGAAAAGTTCATGCTTTGCAATATTTCTGCCGGCATTAGTGATGGGAAACTTTATGGTATTGAATTTGTTCTTGGCTCTTTTGCTCAATAGTTTCAATTCGGAAGAGCTAAAATCACGTAAAGAAGAAGTTGGCGATGAAGGCAGATTAGCAAAAAGCTTCGAGCGTATAAGATCAATAGTACGTCGTGGAAAGTTACGTAGGCAGGCTACTAATGATCCAGGGGAGACGAAACTTGAGAAATTAGTTCATGAGATAATTTTAAAGCAAAAGACGATGCCTGAAGTGAAGGGAATTCTTGCGGATCCAATGAGGATGCAAATTAAGGAATATTGCTGTGTCTCACCGCCATACCAATTGCAACCACAACCCCTACCAATATATTCGAAAAGTTATCAGGAATCACTTAATCGGCCTGTTTCAGCGTGCGATATGCAGGAAGTAAATTTAAATATTGTAAATACTATATCGGGTAGTCAAGAGACAGTAACGGAAATGGATGATCAACAATTGCCAGATGATAAGATGATGAGAGTGAGAAATAGTAACAAAAATGGGATACTTCATCAAATGTCTTCCGGTTTTGGCACTCAGCAGAGTAAGGATGAGCCATTTGAGCAACAATCGCAACCATATGAAGCTGTTGAGTTAAGGGGAGCGCTTGGTTCAACAACAACAATAATAAAAACGAAAGGGATACCTCAACAAATAATACAACAAAAGAGACAATCGTGTCCAATGCCAAGACAACCACAAAATATGAATAATTATTCACAAGCGCAAAATGCAATCGATACAAATAGCAATAGTAGTAGCTGTACATTTAGTGAACAAATTAGTAAACAACTAAAGCGATTATCTAGCAATCAATCTATTAATACATTATCTTTAGACCAAGATGAATTCTTAAATCACATGAATCACGTAAATTTAAAAGATGAACTTTTGAACTGCGATAAAAAAGAGCTTTTTCAATTTTTGAGAGATGAGAAATTATTTGATAGTTTTTACAATGAACCGGTATCTTCTGTTCCAGAGCCAAATAATGACACAAATAATATTATTAATAACAATAACAGGAAGTCTGTACATATACAAGATGATGTTGAGATGCTTAAGAGTCCCATTCGGCAACTTCATGATTGCGAGAAACTTCCATCAGTCACGAAAATGTCGGAGATTAATCAAGCGACTGGAAAGCCATGGCATTGTCTCGTATCATATGTTGATGATATAACAGTTGGTGGTCGACGGAACTCACAAGGGGAATACAATGATCCGATGAATTTTCCCGGTTTTGGACGTAATAAATCGAATAAAGTTCCAAATGATTGCTTTCCACGAGCGTGCTACGATAAATGTCCATGCTGGGACGAGTGGATTAAATCGAAAATTGGACAAAAGTGGCAAAATATAAGGACACAAGTTCTTCTCGTCGTTGACACCCCAACATTTGAGTGGGTCATTTTATTTCTCATTTTTGCTTCATCAATTACGCTCTGTTTTGAGGATATTCATCTTGATAAGAATAAGGATTTAAAGCGTGTCCTTTATTGGACTAATCTCTTCTTTTGCTGCATTTTTGTCGCTGAGATGCTGTTAAAATGGCTTGCTAATGGATTTACTAAATATTTCTCGAGTTTTTGGACAATCTTGGACTTTATCATCGTTTTTGTGAGTATTGAAATATGTTATTTTAATTACTGGGTTGGTAATGTGCACTTTTCCTGTTTTTAAATTAAGTTTCGAGGCTGAATTCAATGAAATTCTTAGTTATAAATTTCTAACGGTTTTTTGAAATTCAAATTTTTGGGTTCAAATTTGAACTGAAATGAAACGAACTCATGCATTACTGAATGAACATGTTTATTTTGAAAGTAATTATGACTGAATTATACTATAATTAACAACTTTTTAGCAATAAAAAGTAGTTTGTAGACATTAAAAGTCACTCATCAATATCTTATGACAGTATTCAAACATATTAAGCCTTTATTTATCGAATATTTTGAATATCTTCCAAAACATCCAGTAAACATCCAGAGCAAGCCATTAAAAATGCCAAAATTTCACTGGAATCCTCGTTATTTGAAGAAAAAGTGCGATTACCATTTACCCAATAAAAAGATAATAACAATAATAATCTAATTCTAATTTAATGTATTCCATTTACAACTTTTTATGTTCTGTTCTGTTCCTCATTCAAGGTTTCTGTATTCTCATTGCTCATCGAAGAGAATGAAAATTTAAAAGTATTAAGATCTTTACGAACTTTAAGGGCTCTCCGACCACTCCGGGCGATATCACGATGGCAAGGCATGAGAATTGTCGTAAACGCTCTAATGTATGCCATACCATCCATCTTTAATGTCCTACTTGTTTGTTTAGTCTTTTGGCTAATCTTTTCAATTATGGGTGTTCAATTTTTCGGTGGTAAATTCTTTAAATGCATCGATGAGGAAGGCGAGGTTCTACCAATATCTGTGGTTAATGATAGATGGCAATGCATAAGCTTAAATTATACTTGGATTAATTCTAAAATTACATTCGATCATGTCGGTATGGGATATTTGGCACTGTTTCAAATAGCAACATTCGAAGGATGGTAAGGCTTTATAGACACAATAAATATTTTTATTGATAATCCATTTCTAAATATTTAAAATAGGATGGAAGTAATGGCAGATGCTGTCGATAGTCGTGGTGTTGATCTTCAACCATCGAGAGAAGCCAGTCTTTATGCATACATTTATTTCGTTATCTTCATCATTTGTGGCTCATTTTTTACCCTTAACCTTTTCATAGGAGTTATCATTGATAATTTTAATATGCTAAAGAAAAAGGTAAAGGAAATAGTTTTATGTAACTTTGAAATCCTTTCAAGAGGATAAGCAACAAAAAAAAAGAGAAAAGTTTTTCGATAGATTTAAAAAGATTTTGAGATAAAATAAGGTAACATTTTAGTTTTTAAGTCGACGTTAGAGGTTAAAGGAGTCATGAAGACGCATTTCAAACAAATACTTATAGCTTTTATAAAATAACAGATTTTTTCATTTGAAACCTTACAACAGTTTTTTAAATTAACAGTTTTGTAATATTTGAATTTTAAAATCAACAGTTTCGAAAAATTTGAATATTTATGAAAACCGTACAACAGCCACATGGCTTCAATTTTAAAACATTTGTAGGGTTTTCTGACACAAAATCGCTTTTGCACACAGCCAGCCACCCAAATTAAACCCAATAGCCCAGAATATCTTTAATGATGCGGTTAAAAATGTCTTAAGGATCAAAAAACTTTTCCTCAGAAAAAAAAGGAAGAAAAACTTCAGAAAAAAGTCTTTACAAAAATGTTGTTCTTTTCTTATTCTTGTGGCTGTACAGTACGAAGGAGGCATCTTAGAAATGTTTCTGACACCATCACAAAAGAGCTATTATTGTGCGATGAAGAAGCTTGGAAGAAAGAAACCCCAAAAAGTTATCAAAAGGCCTTTAAATCATATTATGGCTATGTTTTATGATCTAGCCAATTCTCGGAGGTTTGAAATTGCCATATTCGTTCTAATTTTCCTAAATATGCTGAGCATGGGAATAGAACATTACAATCAACCGCATGCCATTTTCTTCATACTAGAAGTAAGCAATGCATTCTTCACAACGGTTTTTGGATTGGAATGTATTGTTAAAATTGTCGGTAATGTCTATTTTGTGATTCATAATGTTTATTGAGCCGCAACTATTAAATCATGTTCTTTTAGGGCTTCGTCATCATTATTTTACTGTGCCATGGAATATGTTCGATTTTCTCCTTGTTCTTGCATCTATTTTTGGCATTTTAATGGAAGATATCATGATCGATTTACCCATATCACCTACACTTTTACGCGTTGTTCGTGTATTTAGGATCGGAAGAATATTGCGATTAATAAAAGCAGCAAAAGGCATTCGAAAGCTTCTTTTTGCTCTTGTTGTATCACTTCCAGCACTTTTTAACATTGGCGCATTACTGGCTCTTCTTCTCTTTGTGTATGCCATCCTTGGCATGTCACTCTTCGGGCATGTTAAACAACAAGGTGCTCTCAGCGAAATGGTCAACTTTGAGACATTCAGTAGTAGCATGCAGCTTTTATTTCGGTAAAATTTTTATTTCTTTAGATCTCTTATTTAATGTCGAATCAATGCTGATTTATTGCCTAATTTCCTATAGATTGATGACATCGGCAGGATGGAATGATGTTTTGGAATCATTAATGATTCAACCGCCAGATTGTGACCTTCATAAGGACGCAACATCAAATGGAGATTGTGGACATCCGCTTCTTGCCATTACTTATTTCACGTCTTTTATCATTATAAGTATGTCGACTAGCTTCTTTTTATTAATGATAATTGGAATGTCATTAGAAATGGCAGGATAGTGCTTATTTTTCATGTCCTTTGGTTTAAATTTAAATCCTCGAATTTAATTTTAAATCCTTGGATTTATTTTAATCTCTGGATGGTCTCTACATGATTTTGAGGCTGGGTGGTAGTCGGGGTTTAAATTTACACCCTTGATACCCCCAGAATCTGATTCATTGCTATACAGGGACATAGCTTGACAATGAGCTCTCGAGGGGATCTAGAATATTTTACATTTAATTTTTTAAAATGATCAAATTTTTCTAATACAGATTCTAATCTTTAGACTCAGTTAGACTCCTCTTGTTATGCCTGCAGTCAAAAATCAAAAACCACATCACCAACTAATCTACAATCCTCTCATTTTAGGCTATATGATTGTCATTAACATGTATATCGCCATCATTTTGGAGAATTTCAATCAAGCACATCAAGAAGAAGAAGTTGGAATAGTTGAAGACGATTTAGAAATGTTCTATATCCGATGGTCAAAGTATGATCCACACGCATCACAATTCATATCATTTTCTCAACTATCAGATTTTATTGCATCTTTAGACCCACCTTTAGGAAGTAATGCTAGCTATATCCACTGTCCATGAATAATTTTATTAATATTGTTCCTCTAATTTCAGTTCCAAAACCTAATACCTTAGCACTAGTTTCTTTTAATCTTCCAATATCAAAAGGAAATAAAATTCATTGCTTAGACATTTTGCATGCACTAGTAAAGTATGTCCTAGGTCATGTTGATGAAAGTGATACATTTAAACAATTACAAGATCAAATGGATGTCAAGTTCAAGAAGCAATTCCCAACACGTAAAGAATTAGAAATTGTCTCGTCGACACGCATTTGGAAGCGACAAGAGAGAGCAGCAAAAACTATTCAAGTCGGATGGAAGGAATATTTGAGGTAAATAATTTGTGGCTTGATGATGATTTACATGATGTTCATGCTTGGATTTGATTGTAGACTCAAGAGAGAACGGGACAGATCGCCAATGTCTGGAGATGATGACCAAACGCAAACTTCTAGTCCTGGATGGCAAAGTAAATTGTCAGCGCTCAATTTCCTTCATTTACAGGTATTTTTTTGTACTCAAACCGTTCCTTAAAGATATCAACTAAGTTCTTTCGTCTATTTTAGATTCATCGAAGATGCTCAAGAACTTCAAGCCGTTGTTCAAGTCGTAAATCTTCCAGAGCGTCTGGCGATTCGGATATGAGTGAATTAGCAGGTCCGTGGCTGAATCTGCCAATGCTCGTAGCCGGAACAAGTGATCTTGTAAAGAATAATGATCCGGATGGAAAGAAGTAAGCATTAATCATCAAATAAAAGTTCCTATAAATCTCATATTAATGTCTATTTCAAAGGGATCTTGCTGCTCCACCCGAAGGTAGACCACAACGTAGAAAAAGTATTTATAATTTCTTCCTTGGTCGACAAGATGCTGTTGACGATCATATACAATCTCCATCTGTACATAAAAAAGTGAATAAGCCAAATGAGGCAGCATTGCCTGATAGTAAAGAAAGTCTTACGTCGCCGCCAACTAAAAGTAAGCGAGCAACGAGTTTCATTAAGAAAAAGCCGAGACTTGAGAGAGGTCTTTCGGACCAAAGTGTGTTGCGACTTAATAGAAATGCTAATTTAGGTAAATGTCATGCAATAGTTGTGTTTGGACACTTAAGTTTATTTGGATGTTTTCTTGTTGTAGATCCTGAAAGTGCAATGAATCCAGATGTCAGTATTTTAGTTACGGAAGCCTCTCCAGAAGTCCCGAACTGTCCAAATATTAATTCCAATCAAACGCTCATTCATCATGTTATAGTGCATCGTGAAAGTGAAGAATATCACGAATTAGAAGAAGTTGTAACTGACCAGCCAAGTATGTTGATTAAATTTGGGGTGCTGGATATTGGTGGAGGGAAGTTCACATATCGATGTTGTAGAATAATTTGCAATTTCTTACTTAAAATTTTAACGGGTTTCAAAAAATCAAATATTAACGGTTTTCAAAAATTTAAATTTTCCTAGTTTTCAAAAATTCAGATTTTAACGCTTTTTAATTCATTCGTGCCTCCTTTGCTAGGTATACAAGGATATACTAGCATCTGGATGACTTCCTTACGTCATCTTGCGCACACGAATTGTGACTAGGTATATTGCAGGGTACATCAGGTCTTATGACGTACTCGTGTCTTTGCAATGTGCAGAGCTTGCAAGTGGTTCGGATCCCACTATAAACTGTAGGTCTAAAGGGTGTGGTACAATAGATTCTGTTCTAATTTGAGTCGCAGTGCCTCCAGCTGAAAAGGCTAGGCCCTTCACACATTATTATTATTAATTCATTCGTCTTTTCAAAGACGAAATTTGTGAACGATCCCTCAAACTCAAGTTGAAAATCATCGCATAAATTAAAATTACTTTAATGTCTTAACTATTTACTTAGGACCTTCAAAAGACTCAACAACCCCAGATAATACACAATTACAGCTACATCATCCGATAGTAACGATTTGTGTTGATTCACCAAAAGACGAGGAACAAAGATCGATTGCTCAAACACCCGATATCGAGAGAGTAATTTTAGAAAGATCAACTCTTGCCACAGAAAGTTCAAATGTAGTTAATGAATCAGGCACTTGCCATAATGTAGATGAGCCAATAGATATAAATCTGGCAAGTACTTGCGATACATCAAAAGTGATCTACGATTACTAATTATTAAAGGAACTATTAAAAGAAAATTGTTATATCTTTTTTAAGTAAGTAATTTAGTCAATAAGTTCGTAATCTCAAAAAAAGAAAAGAAAAGAAAATCAATCAAAATTTTCGTCAGCCAGCACCAAACAAAAAAAAAATGGAAAAAAAAAATAATAAAAAAGTTAACAAAAGAAGTAAAATGTTGGTTAATAATACATTTATGACAAACATTGAGGAACAAATATGTGAACTTTTAGGAAAAAGCAAACTCTTAAGTTTTAAAAAAAAATGTAAAGTTTCACATTTTTTTTTTCCGGTGCTGCTGTTGCGTTTTTTCCAACCTTCATTCCAATTTTTTAAAAATCTTTTTTCTTTTTCCTAGTTGCTAGAATTTAAAAAAAAAAACATTTAACACGATTATTTTTAAGCATGTTTATTGACTTTTATGAGATTTAAAAAGAAATTAAAAAGATTTTTTTTGTTTAAAAATAACAAAAAAAAAACAGTACGTAGTGATAGAAAATAAAATCGAAATTTGCATTGGCCTTAAGAAGAATCTTAACATTTCAAAAAAATATAAAGAAGTAGTTCGTATCAGAAAAAAAGTAAGGAAAACTAATAAACTTTTTGTTTTTGAAGTAAAATTACTATATAAAAAAATCTTCAAAATTTTAATAACTCTTAGGGGCAATTAGTCAATCAAATTCAAAAAAAAAATACAGGTTGTAATATTTAAAACCTCGTACTTCCAAAATGATATAAAATTAGATAAAGAACAAACAGCGTTGATTACGAACTAATCATGAGATGAAAGCTTGAGCAGCGCATAAATTGAATGGCATAGTTAAATGGTGTTTACGTGACTCTTAAAAAAGTGTATTTTATAGTTTTTGATCCACGTAACTGCCAACCTTTAGATATATTTCAATTATGTTAGCTTTATGGATGTGATGAAGCTTAGTAGATTTATGAAGTGATTCAAACACTTGATGATGTGATGAGAGAATGATTATTTGAGATTTTTATGTTTTAAATGCCAATGTTTTGATTTTTCTCGATTTTAATTGTTTATAATTTATATTAATTTAAACATTTGCTAATGGTTTTTAAATTTCCCAACTGATCTTAATATCCATAAAAGTTAAGTTTTGATTATTTTAAATCGTTCAAAAATCTTTTAAATTTACAATAAAATCAATCAATTGAATGTGAAATCAATCAAAAAACATAAGTTCAAACTTTACTAAACTTATCTGCTTACACAATCAACAATAATGACAATTATAAGTTTGAAAATTTCCTTTAAAAACTTCTAAACTCATCAACACTTTCAACTTTAAATGAAATGAAACTTTTTCTCTTCTATTCCGGAAAAAATCTTTAAAATCTCATTTATCCAGCAGCAAAACTTAATAATCAAATAAAATAAATTTTTCACTAAAGTTATCTAAAGGAGGTTAATTAGACGAGAAGTTGTCATTTAATTTCTGCGCTGTTCAACTAAATGAATTATTCTGTTGATATTTTAAGAAGAATTAAAAGAATTGTTATTAAATTAAATTTTATTTAAGAATTGTTTTAGAAGTGATGAAAAGGATGATAATTAATTATGATGAAGAAATCAATGAAAAGGAAAAGCAACAAAAAAAATGTTTATATGTGTTTCAGTTGACCAGAATATGTAACTTTTAAGTCTGAGAAAAAAAAATGTAATAGAATTATTTAGTTTATGGTCGAGACGTCTTAGTCGATATAAATTTTTTGACAGACAATCTTTGTTCTCGTGTCTTTTTTATGTTTCATATATGACGGGTCCAACGTGAATAGTAAATCAGAAATTAATCATTATTGTTAATGCCATTATAAAAGGATTTAAAATAGATTACACAGTGTGCGTGAAAGTTTGCCACTACTAGTTATTACGATAATTTTTTATAAACATTTTTTGTCCCCCTCTTGTGTCACTGCATAACGCTGCAGAGATGAAAATGATTGAAGACTTTCTTTTTTGATTTTTTTTCGACTGTTTTCTGATGAATATTGATGTTTGAAGTTCGTGGGATAGATATGACCCTGTGCTTAATATCTTTTAAAAGGCTAAAGCTTTGTAATGAATACTTAAAATAGATTTTTGATTAGATTTCGAACTATTCGACCAGCATTCTAATTTTTGGAGACTTAGTAAGAATGTAGGAGTGATAAATGTTTTAAAAATCAACGTTTAATCTTAAACATTTCAAAATAATCAAATTTGAATCTTTTAATGGTTAAAAAATCAAATTTGAATCTTTCAATGGTTAAGAAATCAAATTTGAATTTTGAATGAAAACATCAAGTTTAATTCTTTGATTCTTTAAAAACTCAAATTTAAATCTTTGAATCTTTAAAAAATCAAATTTAAATCTTTGAATCTTTAAAAAATCAAATTTAAATCTTTGAATCTATAAAAAAACAAATTTGAAATTTTAATTGCTTAAAAAATTAAAATTGAATCTTTAACTGTTTAAAAACTCAAATAAATTTTAAAATCTTGATTTTGTCCATAATTCTTTAAGTGATATTCCAACAATATCATTTTAAAATTGTAGAATTGAAAATTGTGTCACAAATTGTGTTACGCTTTAAAGCGAGAAGCGTATAGCCTTGGAATAACTAACAACATTACGGACTGAAACATTATATCACAAGTAAGTCCTTACATTATATCGTAGTAAGTAATCAAAGGAGAAATTCACGAACGTGTGAACATTTTAATCACATACTCTCTTTCTGTCATAGATAATATTGAATATCTAAGTAAAAAGCCGTACAGAATATGCAATAAACAAACCCTTTTAAAGTTGTCCCTCCACGAATTTATTTTTATTTATTCGCGAAAAATACTTTTTTATTATAATATTGAAAAAAGGTCGTGTTAAGTTCAATGAACCGCGCAATTTTCAACACCGTAGTCAATAAAAATAAATAAAAACACCCATCAGAGAATTATTTTCGCTCATCAAAAATCAAAGAATATGAAAAATGGAAATAAAAAATCAGAATTTAATCATTTTTATCTCTGCTGTAAACTAAATGAAAAAAAAAATAATGTGAAAAGTGCAAAAAAAGATTTTTTTTTTCAATTTTATTTGTTCCAATTTTTGAAGTATATCAAAATTATAAATATCCTAGATAGCCAAAAAAAAATTGAAGCATATAAATTCTATTTCGGCTTATTTATTATTTCTTTTGTGCTTTTTTTATTGATAAAACTTATTTTAAATTTGTAAAAACAAAAATTGCATATGTAGGATAATTTTTTTAATAATTTTAAAAAAACAATATTTGAAATCTCTAAGAAATTTTTCTAATCGATATTTCTATATTATCAAATTAATTTTAAAGTTTTGTCTCTAATTGGACCAGCAAGGAAAAGAAAAAAAGAATAATTAAATTAAATTAAAATTCAGTATTTTAAAAAAAAAGTTTTTTCTAATTAATTATATTAAAAAATGAGAGAAAACATAGTTAAACTTATAAAAAAAAGATGATGAAAAAACAATAAAAATGCATCGAAATCAGATAATCCGTTTAAAAAAACTAATCAAACTACTTTTAGTAACATTAATTTCGAATTTCAAAATAATAAAAAAAAAATATTTATATGAAAAGTAATGAATGCAAATAAATAATGAATAATAATATTTAAAAAGAGAATAATAATAATAAAATAATTAATTTTTAGAATTATTCGATTCACTAAATACAAAGCCTTGTACCAAAAAAAAAAAAATAAACAGTAAAATCAATTAGATTCGAAATAAAATTTTGGATTCTATAATAAAATTTAAAAAAAAGGAAATATGAAAGTATTTATCGACAAATGTACGGAAATGCACTTTCCTGTACAGCAATTAATCATCTTGATATGTAATTTTGAGGAAATTGGTTGGCAAATGTGTAATTTTTTCAGATACTGAATATTTATAAGTGTTGGATCTACAGTTTGATTATTGGATACTTTATTTTGGAATCATTCAATTTTATGAAAATTAAGGGTTTTTGATGGCTAGGTGTAGAATGACGCGATTCATATCCACTCAAGTTTCAGCTTAAAGTTTAAAGCAAAGTCCGAGTCTTTGAGCTAAGAACATTTGTAACATTTTTCATTTTTCATTCATTGAGAACACCGATACTCGTCAAAAGCACTGGAAGTCTTGTATTACAGACAGTATTAAAACCACTATTCTAGGTATTACTCTAAATTAATTTATTTAAAAAATCTTCAAATAAGAGTCCTACAAGTTGACATAAGTGCATGCACTCATTGTAGTCAAAAGTAACATCAAAAAATTTATCTCAAGTCTACCAAACCCAAAACCAAACTCCTAGACAAACATCTAAACTATGAAAATATTTTTATGGCACTCAATAGAGCATCTTACTCAAAACTTGTGGTTAATTGATATATAATCAAGCTTCATCCCACAAAGCTTCATCTCACAGTATTATTATTGAAATATAAAGTTAATTTGTGGATATCCGTGTTGTTGAAGCCATTCACTTAATGATGATACACTAAATAACAAGATCAAACGACCGATTTATGAGAGGTTTTCCTGACCAATGAAGCAAATTGTAATCATATGACTCAATATTGTATCTCGTATAGCCTTCATTAAGTAATTAAGACGCTATTGTTTAAAGTTATTATTGTGTTGATAAACAGTGATCTAGTACATGACTTGAGTCCAGATCTATCTGTTTGTAGTGCCCAAATCCTATGAATTACAGTCATTCTTACAAACTTAACTTTTTTCCGACACTTCAATCATATTCAATACACTCTATTTTTCCCTCAAAAATAAAAAAAAGCACCAACTTCTAGTTCATCAATAAAAAACTGCAAAAGTAAGCCATTCAAAGCAGTAATCCGTTTAGAAATTGTGCTGATGAAACAGATTGACATGACAACATCCAACAAAAAAAAATTCTCTCTAGTATTGCGATCACATTTCAACTAGCATGAATCTACAATGTAAAAAGATTTAGCTACAAAACTAAAACATCGAGCCCACGAGACCAATTAAAGTAGCAATCAGTCGAACAAAACGTCACCATTCCCATGTGGGGAGACTCAAAAAGTAAGGTAGAAAATAAAAAATCATGATGCATAGATTCCTACATATAGATTGTTTATGGTGTTTTGATGAGTTGCGGTTTATCACATCATGAGAGAAAGTACTTTATTTTACTACCATGTCTTACCGCAAAAAGCAAAAGGCGGTCTACGTTCGTTAGTAGTTCCTTTTTTCAAAAAAAAAGAGCAGAACAAACTTTTTTTTTCATCATTTTCGTTCACATATAATGAGGATAATATTAATCTCGGCGGGTAGGGATGTTCACATATAGAGCAATTGAAGGATAAACGAAGACACACGATTGTCAAATTTCATATTCCATTCCGTTTCTAAACTTTTGTCTGATAATGAATTTTCATTCACATCGTGAACTGTACTGCGCATGCTATCAAATTGTTGTCAGTATTGAATATCTGATATTGCAAGTTTTTTCGTTTTTTTTTTGCATTTGACGCATGAAAAATATCGAAACAAGAAACATTTCTTCAGTTGCAGTTAAGGTGGATGGACATTTTCCTGAAAGACTCTCGAGTTTAAAATTAAAAAAAAAGTTGAATTTTTTTAAAGTTTTAAAGAAATTGTTTGTGACATTTAAGCATAAAGTTATTGTTTCATTGAAATTCGTACAGTATACATCTCTAGACATAAGGTAAGCTATTCAAACTTATACTATTTTACGATTACATAATTCAAATAATGCAATTTTTTCAAGTTAATTATGCTCATTTGCATTCAAATTACGAAAAAAGCAGACATAATCTAATTACAAAGATGAAAGCAATTTTTTTCATACTGTATATCCAATTCAATGTAGACAAAAGTATTGATGTTGAATTTTTATTTCATTTTGATTAAATTTTTTTCTTTCTTTTGTTCATTGAGTTTTTTTTTTGCGAAAAAAAAGTTATGCGCATGTTTGGTGCTGCTGCTTTTTTGTCATTTCTTTTTCAACTTTTTAAAGCTTTTTTT